TTCATCACTGAACCAGATTCTACGCAAATTCGGTAGGTTCCAGGCCTGAACGTTGCTGCACCATTGAACTCGATGTCGACGATGTTGTTGTCGAAGCACAGGGCCAAACTAAGGTCTTCTGGCACGTAAACCAGCCTCTCTCAACCTGTTCCTGACGGTCTGTGCAGAAAGCCTCTTCAATCCGGGTATTTGTCGAGTGGTACTGGTCGCCGTAGCTGTTCGATGACGCAGGTGATGTACCCGGATGTAGCGATCCTGCGCGGCAGTGGTCGCTCGAGGTCACCCACTACGATGGGCATCTGCTACCGCATTCTGCCGGCGATATCCCTCCCAGAGCCGTGAAATGGTGCTTTGGTGAACATTCATGCGTCGGGCAACTGCACGTTGAGACCAATGGCGATATGACGGTTGGCTTCACTTAGACGTGGCATTTTGCGTTCGTCAACAATATTCCAAATACAGTGAATAATCGACAGACAGAGATCAACCTTTTATACCCATCATTGAGACTATCTGATGCCCAACTTTCACGTGCATTGCATGTGAATTGTGTATTCTGTGACACTACACGCCGAAATTGAAAATCATGCTGTTAAATACGGGTATTTTACGGATGGTGCGTTTTGTTGTGATGTTTCAAAACATAAACACCATAGGACTCATAAACAGAGAAAAACCTTTTGTAAAATGAATCACGTTTTAATTCATTGCTACATGAAATTGCTATTTTCATGATGCGTTTCTTTTTTGGGAGAGTATATATATTTTATGAGCATACAGTCGTGCTCAGCAATCATAATTTACACTAATTATCGTAATGGGGTTGTTGTTTTCAGAATCATGGCGACATACACGTTCATAGAGATAACAACGGTAATTCTTTTAATATTATGACAGGATCAATACATCAATGAAAACATCCGGAAGTGGTTGTCCGGAATATAGTACCCGCTGGACATACGAATTAATATCAGGCACTTTTGATAGCAAGAAAAGATTATTGTAAAGCACTGATTTCCCCCCGATCTGGCATCTGGATATTTATATGAGTGCAGGTACCATTGTGAGTGACAGTAACGATTCGTACAGAGTTAAGAGACAGCCATGAACTGACAACATTTTGATCATGATCACGTATGAAAACACATATCTCAACGTTTTTGAAAGTAATACAAGGAGAAAGTGGAATTATTTATGAAAATACACAGTCATAATGAAAAATGTATTAAAATAATGGTCAGGCACGAAAAATCAAAATACATGCTTGAAGCATACATCATATACTACTACAGTTATACACTACTCACTTAGCCAATCAGAATCGAGTATCACACAATGTCGTGCTAGAATGAATTGTTAAACTCGTGATTTGCATAACAGAGTTGCGTCCCTTTCAGGCTGTCAGGATCAGCTGAATTTAGTTGAATAATTTAACATTAATGTAAGCAACTCTCATCACAAGAATCATGCAAGTAAATATAATGCATTGACACAGCATTTCTTGGTCAACCGAGTTATCTTTATAGGCAAAATGAAGAAATATATTTTTTCTCCTATATATCTTGATGGTATTTTAAAACTTTTATTTACACATTTGTATTTATATCAAATTCTGTGATCAGTGAAAATATGATATGAATCAAAACCATGTCCATTTTACCAAACAGTGGAATGGGGACAAAAATACAATAATGCACAGAACAAGTTGATGTATTTAATCCAAGATATTCCAACCCCAGAAACCCTGTAGAGAGTCACTTTGATCCCAACGCTCATTTGTTTCTGGTTTGAGCCAACTGAACTATCCATAGCCCTGTTCTGGAGTTTCCCTGCGATTCTCATTGTTTCCCATCTCAAAACGCAAGGTTCAGTACTCCAACACAATGGCCTCAATTCTGTAGCAGAGGTGACATGACCTGACAATTTGTCGCAACCTGTCAGTCCGCTTGACTGCATTCTCTGCCATACATCAGCTGGTCATCGGAGAAGTGGACGTCGGGTGTCACCATGATGTACTGCACGGTGTGTTGGACAGTTGGACCTGTGTCACCTGGTCGCCCAAGGGGATGTCCCAGTATTGGATAGAATGGATGCCTGGGCGCAGTCCCTCAAGGCTGAACATGTGATCCATTATAGTCTGTTTGCAATGAAAACGTATCAATGATTTTCACTTTAAACAAAAACGTAAATCAATAAAGTGAATAGTTGAATAAAATTCTGAGATTTAAATGTTCAATTGGCAGGGTAAAATTAAGAGGATTCGCAATCTTAAATTCAATTTCTTTGATTACTCTTTTGTTTAAAGTGAAATTCATCGCTACGTTTTCACTGCAAACAGACTATAGGTTGTTTGGTCAGGTTAGGGTTAAGGTTACAGTTGTCTCATAGCTGTGATCTGTACATAAACGGGGCCTTCTGGGTGTACTGACGATTTAATTAACTCTTGGTATCAATCTGCCGCCTCGGGCGTGAAGTGAATAGCGTCTAGTCCTTGTTATATCAATAACCTGTATGTCCTTCTTGTACCTTCAGGAGTGGGCAGTGGGGTAACCTAGTGGTTAAAGCGTTCGCTCGTCACGCCGAAACCCGGGTTCGAATCCCCACATGGGTACAATGTGTGAAGCCCATTTCTGGTGTCCCCCGCCGTGATGTTGCTGGAATATTGCAAAAAAAACAATAACCTTCAGCAGAACCAGGCAGGGTAACAAAAAGAAGCATCTTTTGAAGTTCTTTGCTTTACGGTGACCTGCCATACAACCATCGGCTCTCGTGGCAAGAACCAGGACCAGTTCCTGAGTCAACACAAACTCCGAACACTTGGTCTGTAATCGGGCAGCTCGCAGCTGTGCCAAGATTAATGGTTCGTTAATCAAATGCCATGGAATCACTTGCACCTGGTTGATAGAGGTTTAAGGTCACTGCCCAATGTGTCTAATTGCCTCTGACTTTAACTATCATTTTAATGATTAGATACCTTGTCCTGTAGGTGTAACCTTCACCTCAGTTCCTACTGGGTTAGAATTGATCTTAAGCAACCCATGCTTGTGGCAAAGGGCGACTAACGGGATCGGTGGTCTGGCTCGCTGACTTGGTTGACACAAGTCATTGGAGCCCATTTGCATAGATCTATGCTCATGATGTTGATCACTGGTTTGTGTAATCCAGACTTTTTACAGACTGCTGCCATATAGCTGGATTATTGCTGAGTGTGGTGTTACAAAACAAACATTTCTTTAGCATTAACTAGTATCACACACCAGCTTCTATATAAAGTGTTCCTAGGGAGGCATAGTAGTCTTCACTGTTTACCGAGCCAGATTTCATTCATACGAAAGAAAATATATTATTGATTACTTCCAGATACATAATATTGCTAAGTTGGACGTTAACTGACTGACTGACTGAGTTTAGTTTTACGCCGCTTTTAGCAATATTCCAGCAATATCACGGCGGGGGACACCAGAAATGGGCTTCACACATTGTAACCATGTGGGAATCGAACCCGGGTCTTCGGCATGACGAGCCAACGCTTTAACCACTAGGCTACCCCAGCGCCCAGTTGGACGTTAAACAACAAACAAAAATTAAGTTCTCATATACAGTTATTGTGATGAGCTGCTCGGGCAATTTAACTGCAAGGTACAGACTGTACTGATGTATTTAGCAATTCTACAACGTCCGGGGCGACCACGGGCTATCGATAAGCTGGTGACTGGTAGTTCTAGCGGCCACAGAGTGTGGTCAGCAGACTTTATATTGAGTGAGTGAGTGAGTATGGTTTTACGCCGCTTTTAGCAATATTCCAGCAACATCACGGCGGGGACACCGGAAATGGGCTTCACGCATTGTAACCATGTGGGGAATCGAACCCGGGCCTTCGGCGTGACAAGCGAACGCTTTAACCACTAGGCTACCCCACCGCCCGACTATATATTGAACAGGTACCACCGAACCCACAACCTTGCTGAAAGATCAGAGTTAGAGTGACCCCGGTCGGCAAGCGTACAGGGTGGATCAATCCTGGAAAACACTCAGTGAAATAGATCTCAAACGGCGAGTCAAAAATGCTTTTAACTTAAATCATCCAGCTGAAGCTTCTGGAGAAACTGTGTGCAAACGTCTACATCCACCTCATTGCCACGGACCCGTGAAGATCCGGGTTAGAAGGAATCTTCAGTAACTGACTGACTGACTGACTGAGTTTGGTTTTACGCCGCTTTTAGCAATATTCCAGCAACATCACGGCGGGGGACACCAGAAATGGGCTTCACACATTGTGCCCATGTAGGGATTCGAACCCGGGTCTTCGGCGTGACGAGCCAACGCTTTAACCATTAGGCTACCCCAGCGCCCCATCTTCAGTAACCCATGCTTGTCGTAAGAGGCGACTAACGGGATCGGGTAGTCAGGCTCGCTGACTTGCTTGACACATGTCATCGGTTCCCAGTTGCGCAGATCGATGCCCATGCTTTTGATCACTGGATTGTCTGGTCCAGACTCGATTCTTTACAGACCACCGCCATATGGCTGGCATATTGCTGAGTGCAGCGTAAAACTAAACTCACTCACTCACTCACTCATCACCACGGGGGCGGTGGGATAGCCTAGAGGTAAAAGAGTTACGCTTGTCACGCCGATGACTAGCAGCTTGAATATGACATCTCCCTGAACATCTGCTCGGCCACGTTTGGTTTTCACCAAACACCAACACGCATGTTTTTGATGAGTAATTAAGAGATAAACATCATGTGTTGGCCAATTTCCGGGTGTTATTGAGTATTTGAAGCACGGGAATTCATTTGGAACCGACGGCATTATACACTTATATATTTACGTCAAAGGCCTTTTTATCACAGCACACATTATTACACAGTACTTAGTAGGGAGAATTTGGTTGTGTGGAGAAAGGGGTCACGGTGACACACATACCGCCACACCTCCACTAACAAGGATTTTGATTGGTTACTGCCAGTCGCGACCTGCGATGACATATGGCTCAACAGACGACGAGGGAGAACAAGCGATATGAAAGTCGACATTCACACTCACATTTTGCCAGAAAATTGGCCAGATTTGAAAGAGGTATGTTTAACACTTGATGCAATATGGTTTGACGATGTGTCTGGACATTGCCGTGGATTATGACAGTGTTTACATTTTTATTGTAATCAGATTCAGAATCACTGGGATTTGTACTGTAGTGCTGAAAACTAGCATGAAGTCTCGCACAGTCAATGACGGGGTATTACCATGAGCACGATATAAAACTTTATTAAAAGGCAGTTTTATACAGTGACGATACATCGCCATTGATTGACCATGTAAGGCTTAATTAGTGCTTGTTTTGGGCGTTACAATTAGCCATTGTGGCCAGAATTTGTTATTCGTTTCCCCGTCGCTTGCAGTCCCACTTACCACCGGTTTCTGCTGACAGCCGGGATTGCCACTCTGCGACCGAACGAGGCTACATTTGTCAACAGGTGTCTTACATCTAGGTCGGGCAGCTCTGCTTATCTGTTGCTTAGATCATTGCGTTATGTTCTGTAAAACTCGCATGGTATAATATTAGTTATATTGACTGGGGATTTACAGACCAAATGTAAACATGGACTGCTTTTTATAATAGGTGGGATAGCCTAGGGGTTAATGCGTTGGCTAGACGTGCCGAAGAACGGGGTTCAATTCCCCACATGGGTACAATGTGTGAAGCCCATTTCTGATGTTGATATGTTAAATTTGGGGTAAAACCATATGCACTCACACACTCGTTTTTATGATAGGCAGGAGAGAGGGTTTGGTTTATGGCCTTTGTCACACAATGCTAACCCAACCCCTCTTAATTCCCCCATCTCCAGTTTGTGTAGCGTTTGATGCCCTCCTTCCAATTTTGATAGACCTGTGAAGCTCCGGGTTAGAATTGATCTTCAGCAACCCATGCTTTATCATAAAAGGCGACTGACGGGATCGATGGTCAGGCTTGCTGACTTGTTTGACAATGTCACAGTGTACCAATTGTGTAGATCGATGCTCATGCTGTTGATCACTGGATTGTCTGGTCCAGACTCTATTATTTACAGACCGCCACCATATAGCTGGAATATTGCTGAGAGCTAAACTAAACTCACTCACTCCAATCTTCATATGCTAATTAACCAATCCATGAATAGTGCTCTAATTATGGCTGTAAGGTGTGTTTTATTTAGGATTGTACAGATTGTGATATTCTGGGGGATGAGCCCAATCTGGGATTCAAACCCAATATCAAATATCTCAGTACTTTTTAGGCATGTTAAATCAAACAACTTCATTTTTTATAATTGTTATATGTGTGTGGAGAGAGAGAGAGAGAGAGAGAGAGAGAGAGAGAGAGAGAGAGAGAGAGAGAGAGAGAGAGAGAGAGAGAGAGAGAGAGAGAGAGAGAGAGAGAGAGAGAGAGAGAGAGAGAGAGAGAGAGAGAGAGAGAGAGAGAGAGAGAGAGAGAGAGTAACATATTTCCATTGTTCTTTCCAAAGCAGTGAACTATCAATGCCATAGATGACTATGCATGCTTTTGAGACAGTTCTGTCATGTAGGCTTTCTTCCTCCGTCAATATGCATTAGGAATACAATCACATAAGGGTTGTTTTGTTGCTAAGCAGTAGCTGAAAGCTCAGGTTTGATTCCCCACATGGGTACAATGAGTGAAGCCCATTTCTGGTGTCCCCTGTCGTGATATTGCTGGAATATTGCTAAAAGCAACTAAAAACCATCTTCACTCACTACAATCACACAATGAGGCAATCAGTGTGGAGAGCTTCCAGGGAAACTATACAATGGTAGGCTGGTACATGTTTGAGGGGAGGCACTCTCATAATTAAACACAATTGGAATTATTTAGCTGACAATTTAATAATAATAATAATAGTGCATATTTGTAATGCGCCAATTTTCCATGGTCGTAAGCATGCTTAAAATACATTAAAATACATATATAGACAGAATTAGGAAAAAGCTACAATGGAATAGATGCATAATACATAAACGTTTAGAAAGCCTGTGGATGGTGATATTGAACAAAGAGTGAGGTTTTTAGATTTGATTTAAAAGAGTCCACAGATTCAGAGTCTCAGGTCAGGAGGAGAGACCCCTGAAGATCCGGGTCTTCAGCAACCCATGCTTGCCACAAAAGGCGACTATGCTTGTCGTAAGAGGCGACTAACGGGATCGGGTGGTCAGGCTCGCTGACTTGGTTGGCACATTTCATCGGTTCCCGATTGAGCAGATCGATGCTCATGCTGTTGATCACTGGATTGTCTGGTCCAGACTCGATTATTTACAGACTGCCGCCATATAGCTGGAATATTGCTGAGTGCGGCGTAAAACTTAACTCACTCACTCAAGGAGGAGAGATTTCCACAAGACAGGGGCAATGGAGGAGAAGGTTCTGTAGCCAAAGGTTTTAAGTTTGTAGTAAGACACTGAGGGAAGGTTTTGCTGCTGTTAGCAAAGTACGCGAGCTGGACTGTAGGGGTTGCAATGTATGGTGGGGTCTGGCCATGAAGGGACTTGTATGTGAGGCACAGCGTCTTGAATTTAATCCTGGCTCTCACAGGTAACCAGTGGAGCTGCTTTAGAACTGGGGAAATGTGGCTGTGTTTACAAGTGCGAACTCAAACTGTTCATACCTTGAAATGTATATAATTCAATTTTGAATTTTACACTCATGTTTATTAATTTGCCACCAAAAAACTCCAATATGAAGTACATGTTCCAGCGCTATGGCTACGGAGGGTTTATCCAACTGGAGCATCACTGTGCAGGGAAGGCCAGGATGATGAAGGATGGGAAGCTGTTCCGTGTGATTGATGACAACTGCTGGTCTCCGGAATCTCGCATCAAGGAGATGGATGCTACAGGTCAGGTCACCATGACAACCTTGTTGATATCTTGCATGTAATAAACACTCTCCTGCATTTAGGAGGAATTTTAGTATGCTGAAGGAAACAAATTTGTTAATACCACATCATGGCAGTGTTGATTTATAAATGTTCTCAGATTTTTATATCCCAAGTGCAAAATAAAAAAAGGAAGAAGTGGATGAAGGAATGCCATTCTTTCATGTGGTCCTGTTTTTCTTTCCCTCAGTATATTTTCATTCAAATGCATTGTTATACCATTAAGTTATCACAGTTGCTCTTGTTACACAGCCGCCATATTGCTGAAATATTGCTGAGTGCGGCGTAAAACTAAACTGACTCACTCACTCACTGTTATACCATTAAGTTATCACAGTTGCTCTTGTTACACAGCCGCCATATTGCTGAAATATTGCTGAGTGCGGTGTAAAACTAAACTGACTCACTCACTCACTGTTATACCATTAAGTCATCACAGTTGCTCTTGTTATACAGCTGCCATATAGCTGGAATTTTGCTGAGTGCGGCGTAAAACTAAACTCACTCACTCACTGTTATACCATTAAGTCATCACAGTTGCTCTTGTTATACAGCCGCCATATAGCTGGAATATTGCTGAGTGCTGCGTAAAACTAAACTCACTCACTCACTGTTATACCATTAAGTCATCACAGTTGCTCTTGTTATACAGCCACAATATAGCTGAAATATTGCTGAGTGCGGCGTAAAACTAAACTCACTCACCCACTGTTATACCATTAAGTCATCACAATTACTCTTGTTATACAGCCGCCATATAGCTGAAATATTGCTGAGTGCGGCGTAAAACTAAACTGACTCACTCACTCACTGTTATACCATTAAGTTATCACAGTTACTCTTGTTACACAGCCGCCATATTGCTGAAATATTGCTGAGTGCTGCGTAAAACTAAACTGACTCACTCACTCACTGTTATACCATTAAGTCATCACAGTTACTCTTGTTATACAGCCGCCATATTGCTGAAATATTGCTGAGTGCTGCGTAAAACTAAACTCACTCACTCACTGTTACACCATTGAGTTGCTCTTGTGCAGCCGCCATATTGCTGAAATATTGCTGAGTGCTGCTAAACTAAACTGACTCACTCACTCACTGTTATACTATTAAGTCATCACAGTTACTCTTGTTACACAGCCGCCATATTGCTGAAATATTGCTGAGTGCTGCGTAAAACTAAACTGACTCACTCACTCACTGTTATACCATTAAGTCATCACAGTTGCTCTTGTTACACAGCCGCCATATTGCTGAAATATTGCTGAGTGCGGCGTAAAACTAAACTCACTCACTCACTCACTGTTATACCATTAAGTTATCACAGTTGCTCTTGTTACACAGCCGCCATATTGCTGAAATATTGCTGAGTGCTGCGTAAAACTAAACTCACTCACTCACTGTAACACCATTAAGTTATCACAGTTGCTCTTGTTACACAGCCGCCATATTGCTGAAATATTGCTGAGTGCTGCGTAAAACTAAACTCACTCACTCCCTGTTATACCATTAAGTTATCACAGTTGCTCTTGTTACACAGCCGCCATATTGCTGAAATATTGCTGAGTGCTGCGTAAAACTAAACTCACTCACTCACTCACTGTTATACCATTAAGTCATCACAGTTACTCTTGTTACACAGCCGCCATATTGCTGAAATATTGCTGAGTGCCGCGTAAAACTAAACTCACTCACTCACTGTTATACCATTAAGTTATCACAGTTGCTCTTGTTACACAGCCGACATATTGCTGAAATAAATATTGCTGAGTGCGGCGTAAAACTAAACTCACTCACTGTTATACCATTAAGTTATCACAGTTGCTCTTGTTACACAGCCGCCATATTGCTGAAATATTGCTGAGTGCTTCGTAAAACTAAACTGACTCACTCACTCACTGTTATACCATTAAGTCATCACAGTTGCTCTTGTTATACAGACGCCATATAGCTGAAATATTGCCGAGTGCCGCGTAAAACTAAACTCACTCACACTTGTTATACAGTGCCATTCTCATTCACAAGGAGAGTGACCTATGCTGGGTTTTGATGACACATTAAATCTGACATATCTCAAAAACGCCATGCTGAAAATATACTCAATAGCAGAACAAATCAAACCATGGTCACTTTCTTGTTGATAGTTCTGTGATTATTACATCTTTATCACAAAATGACAAACAAAAAATGTCAGTGTAAGAATCAAATAATGGAACCATTGAATATATTTATATATCTTATGTCAATAAAATATAATCATCAGTTTGTCTAATATCACATTCAAAATAGCTAGTTTATAAAAATCAACCAAGGATCCCATTTAAAAAAGCCTTTTGTCTTCGATATCGCCACTTGGGAAAAGATCTGGAAACAAGTTTTAAATTTTGTGAGCAATCCAATAATTATTGTAGGACAAACCTGGAGTTTATTTTAGAAATGTGGTAATTGTTTTCAGGAGTTGATGTTCAAGCTCTGTCCACTGTGCCCGTCATGTTCAGCTACTGGGTAAAACCATCTTCAATATATTAGCATGTTCAAGATCTGAGGGGATTCTTGGTTCAAACTGTTCCCTGGCAACCAGTGGCAGTATATAGACATATAATAAATGATCATGGTATATAATGTATCACAATACATATTGTATCATCCCAGCCCATGTTTTTTTCCTAGCATATCACTGGTATCTGTGATATCAGTATTGAGCTTTCGTTTAAGAAAATAATTGTGGGGTGGGGTTGGGGGAGGGTGTTGGCATAAGTATGCAGGGCAATACTACTTTCGATTGCTGCATGGCAGGGTTTGTTTCAGGGCAGTATCATGCTTTATAGAATGTCATGTGAAAAAGTGTCAACTTATCAAAATTCAGGTTTAATTTTCAAATGTAACACTTACTTTCATCACTCACAACAGACTTCCACTGGAGGTATCATGTATCGCTTCAGGCCATTGTGATGTCATGGGTTACCATGATATTAGATAACAGTGCATCTCTATTTTTCTCTGTTAACATCACTGAAGTTTGTCATCTGTACTTCATACACTCAATATACTGATTTTAACTATTTACAAACAAAACTAGTTGGATGAATGATTTTGGATGATTAAATGGAATCTCACCCTGAGTCTTTTGATATCAAAATTAATGAAAAATGAACTGTAAAATTTAGAACTCCTCGTTAAGCTCCAGAGTTTTGAAGTTTTATTGGCTCATATGCATGTATTTTATGTCAAAAAACATCTGGTTGACATTCTCTATTTAATCTGTTAAATGTCATCAAACATGCTTCTTGTTCTGATGTTAGAAACTTCAGAAGTGATATTCCAAACAGGCAAAGCCAGAAGACACTCTTGACCTGTGTAAGATCCTCAATGACGGAATAGCTGACATCGTCAAGAAGTATCCGAAGAGGTTTACAGGGCTGGCAACAGTGCCCATGCAGGCGCCTGAGTTGGCAGTACAGGAACTGATCCGTTGTAGGAAAGAGTTAGGTGAGTGAGGGAGGCATTATGCCAGTGAGGGCACCAAACATTGGTTCACCCATGTAGAGAATCAAACCCAGGCCTCTTGTTTGAAGGACACGTGAAGATCCGGGGTAGAATTGGTCTTCAGCAACCCATGCTTGCAACAAAAGGTGACTATGCTTGTCGTAAGAGGCGACTAACGGGATCGGGTGGTCAGGCTCGCGGACTGGGTTGACACATGTCCATATTGCTCTTGTCACTAACTCTTGTTTGAAGAGCCTCCATTATGAATATCATCATATCTGTCATGACTGAATTGGTTTTGGAAGTCCTTTTATTTGAAGAGAGAATTATAATATTATTTAAGGAGGCAGGTGCATAATTCACATCATAAAAATGTCTCAAAGTAAAGAATGAAAAGCAGTGGTTCTTGTTCCCATGACCAAATATGACGAAAATGTTAAAAAATTGAATTCATTTACTTTTTGTTATCAAAATAACAAACATTCTTCACCCCACCTCCACTTTTTATTTTCTACCAACTTAACATTGCAGGGAATCGAATGACATTTCAAATTCAAATTCTACATTTTTTAATTTTTGTGACGTACTCACCTAAATGGGCCAACAATCTGGAAAACTATATAAAACAGTCAACAAAAAGCATTTTGGTCCCAAGTATACTACATAGTACTCATAATGTGTGTTAACCAGTATTGGGGCGGTGGGGTAGCCTAGTGGTTAAAGCTTTGGCTCGTCCCGCCAAAGACCCGGGTTCGAATCCCCACATGGGTACAATGTGTGAAGCCCATTTCTGGTGTTCCCCACCGTGATGTTGCTGGAATATTGCTAAAAGCAGCGTAAAACCAAACTCAGTCAATCAGTCAGTTAACCAGTATCCCTCTGTTTGCTGAAGGTTTTCGTGGTGTTCAGATTGGATCCCATGTCAATGACTGGAACCTAGATGCTCCCGAGTTGCAGCCAGTATTTGCTGTGAGTTGAGTATTTGATTCTGTCAGCATTAGTAGCAGAATGTGGAAAAACACCTAAATCTAAAACATACAGAGTTATTATTTCAATGAAGCTCTTCTTTTATGTGAACTTTCAGACATGACATCACTGTTGAATGGTATGACACCACTCAGTAATGCTATGACATCACTGTTGAATGGTATGACACCACTCAGTAATGGTATATCACTGTTGAATGGTATGACACCACTCAGTAATGCTTTGACATCACTCTTAAATGGTATGAAACCATTCAGTATGGTATGACATCACTGTTGAATGGTATGACATCACTCAGTAATGCTATTACATGACTGTTGAATGGTATGAAACCACTCAGTAATGCTATGATATCACTGTTGAATGGTATGATTGACACCACTCAGTAATGCTATGACATCACTGTTGAATGGTATGGCATCACTCAGTAATGCTATGGCACCACTAAGCAGTGCTATAACATCAGTGTTATGTAATGATACAATGGACTGTGTCACATCATTACAAGATAATTGAACTTGCCTGGTTTGCAGAATGTGCAAAGAAGTAAACGAATAAATAGCCAAAGTTTGTCTGACAAATTGTGACCAAGATTAATGTTTAATTAAGATGTCCATTCCACCAAGCTAAATAGCACATTTTATAAACTTTGGATTGAGAATGCAAAGAAAAAAATCACATGAAGTGAAAAGTCTGAAATATATCAGGATCCAATTACCCTCTATTTGACATTGCAGCCCGCACTCCCTTTCCTTCACAACATCAGTTCAGTCCTGTTTCCTGTTTGCCCCTTTCCTTGGAGCTAGGGTCTTTAAGCTATCTACAAGTGGCTGAACTTGAAACATATAAACAACGGCATCACAGTATTGAAGTCTATATTCTCTATGCACCGGAATTATTTATCTGAAAGTTCTCATTTGTTTTCAGGCAGCTGAAGAACATGACTGTTCTATCTTTGTACATCCCTGGGACATGGAGCAGGGTGGACGGATGAGCAAGTACTGGTTACCGTGGCTTGTAGGTAGGTCAGTAATGGTTACCATGGCTTGTAGTTAGGTCAGTACTGGTTGTTGTGGCTTGTAGGTAGTACTGGTTACCATGGCTTGTGGGTAGGTCAGTACTGTTTACCATGGCTTGTAGGTACGTCAGTACTGGTTACCATGGCTTGTGGGTAGGTCAGTACTGGTTACCATGGTTTGTGGGTAGGTCAGTACTGGTTGTCGTGGCTTGTAGGTAGGTCAGTTTGGGTTACCATGGCTTGTGGGTAGGTCAGTACTGGTTACCATGGCTTGTAGGAAGGTCAGTACTGGTTACCATGGCTCGTAGCTAGGTCAGTACTGGTTACCATGGCTTGTAGGTAGGTCAGTATTGGGTACCATTTCTTGTAAGCTGGTTTGTAAGTAGGTCAGTAAGCTGGTTATTTGGTTACTCAGTGAGGCCACAGTTTGGACGTAGGTATAAGACACAGGTCCAGCCAGTGTGTGAATTGTAACAACACCATTAATCAAGCAATAACAACATAATTTTTAACTTACCTTACCATAGGTCTTATGCATATTACCTCAAGCTCCGCTTAAAAGAGATCAGACAGTCGTTGATTCGCCATTCTCTAGAATGGCTGCCTCAAGTATTGACGAGTGTACAGGAATGGAAGTGATGTGATCTCCCCTCTCCCGCGCAAGCGCGGTCTATCCAAAAATCACTTTTACTTCAAGTGTCAAACGTTTTTTGATTTCGCTAGTTCGCTATGTAGCGGGTAATGTCCGAGTAACTCTCCATTTTGTTAAAAATAATGGAGCCGAGGCCCCGGAGGGTCCGAGGCACATTATTTTTAAGGAATGGAGAGTTACGAGGATATTACCCTGCCCAAAATACAGAACTGGGGATATTTCTGTTATAAAAATTAAATGTCAAAATGACAAAATGAAGGCTTTAATTTGAAACTGGTACACATCGCTCCATTCCCAAAAAGTAATGGAGCGAGCAAACAATGGAATGACGTTGACGTCACAAATGTGATTTAATTACTGATTCTTTCAGATATTAAAGTTCTTGTTTGTTTTCGGTATGTATGCTTTTTATATCTTATATTCTTCTCTGTGTGGGTGAAGAACATAATTAAAGTAACTTCACTTACCTGGCTGCCTTGTGTTTCTCACTTCGGTGTGGGGTGTGTTCCAACGTCGCGAGTGTCGCTCCACTGGGCATGTTTGGTGTTTTGCATTCTCCTATGTCTTTTTCTCCTTATGTTCATGCTTGGTCTTGTATTTCTTGATATTGTTGCCTAATTTGTGCTTGTTTTTCATGTTCTTTTCGGCTCAGTGGGGGCAGCCATCTTGGTTGTTTACTCTGCTGCCGATTGATTGGGCGTGCCCATTCTTGCTGCAGGGGTGTTTCCATTTTCTCTGCAGGTCTTTTTTTTTTTCTGTGTGTTTATGTAGTTTATACGTTTTACTTTTTTTCGTGTGTTACAGCCTTTATGTGCATGATCTGGCAGTTTTGATGTATCTGCAAGGTGCAGAAGTCTGCCAAGGATCCCCTCCCTTGGTGTCCAGACTGCGCTCTTGCTGTTCTCTTGCTGAGCGCTGTCATTTTTGTACGCCCTTATCCGTCGCCGATTTCAAGGCTTCCACTGCCGCCAAGACGAAACGATTGTCGCAGCGTAAGAGGAAGATGTCTTCACCTGCTTCTTCGTTGGGCTCCAGATCTTTTCTTCCACGGATGCCGGACGGACGCTCCTCTCCTTTAGCTGAAGAGACGACTACACCTGCGCTGACAAGGCTGACGCCTGACGCCCAGCGCCCGTCTGACGCCTTTGTGGACTTATCTCAGCCAGACGCCTTATCTCATCCGGTGGTACTGAAGCTTTTAAAGACGCTCCTTTTGCCTGCAGCAGTTGAAGCACAAGCCAGCGCCATTCCAGCGGCGAGTGCTGTCCCAACGCCGACTTCTGAGTTGCCAAGCGCCGACGGCCGTGGCACCTAGTTCTGATGTTGCTGTATTGGTGCATCAAAAACGCCTCCCCCCAACGCCAACGCCAACACCAACGCCAACGCCGTTGTTATACTACCGTATCCCCAAGAAGGCTCCTGTGTCTACGTTGTCTCGAGAGGATTATCTTGGAAGTTAGTGGAAGAGCGTTCCCGATGCCAGGAAGCCGAGCGCTCCCATGGTTCTAAGCGGTCTCACTCGCCGTCGCCGGTCTGATTCCAGGTCTCGCTCTCCCAGACGTCCCAATGATAGGGAGAGGCGTTCAAGGTCGCCGACTTGTGGGAGGTGCTACTGTCGGTCCCATTATAGGTCGCCTCCTTTTTGCTGCTCGCCGCGATGACCACGTTCCTCTACAGTTACCTTTAGTGCTTTTTCTCAACTGTCATCTGAGCGCCCAACGCCTGCTGCTTCTGGCCAACGGTATAATGCTACTACAGTGTTCTGGGAGGACGCTGAGGAGCGCTATTTTTCTCCCGATTATAATGAAGAGATGTTACAAGAGGAAGATGATGGGGGTACTTACCTCCCCCTATCTGCTGTATTTGACTGGATTGCCAACAGACTGCCGGATTGTCCTTCTCCCTCTTCAGGCTCTGACGATCCGAGAGCTATTAGGACTTCTCCCGATTTAGAGACTTTGTTAAACTCTTAATTGTTTTACATCATGTTGCCAATATATTTTGATTGTACATATGTTATATGTATATGGGCCGGTGGCCTTCATGCATAATAATAATAAAGATCTTTACTCCTCCCGCCTCACCCAATGGTGGCCGATGTGGTGGCCTCTTTGGATGCCGACTTTGCTAAACTGTCTCTCAATACTACTATTAAGGCTCCTAAGTCACGCAAAGGGGACTACAAGATACATGGCGTGGATTTTGCTGATGGAGGCGCGGCTCATGATGAATCCCTCAAACGTTTAACGGGTTCTCCACAGTCTTCTTACCGAGTGCAGGACTCTAAGATGTTGGCTATTGACGCAGAGGTCAAGAGGATGTTGAAGCCTGTTTCGGCGTTGGCCTCTGCAACTTCGGCTGCAGCTTGGGACTTAACTGAAGATAATGCGTCGAGGACAGATCACCTTACCACCCTGTTCCAATAGCAGGGTAAGGTTTAACATGATATACTGGCACACCTTCGGACGGCGTTGGCCATGACGACTGTTGTTCAGCAGATGGGGTTCCTTGAGCGTTGCTCTGGGCAGGAGGAGTTCAAAAGAAAGCTGTTGAGAGCCCCTTTCGCGTCCTGCTTCCTCTTTGATGACAGGATTCCAGAGGTTTATAAGTAACACGTGGAGCTTACTAATAAGGAGGTGTCCCTGTCTACTTTCAAAGCTCTGAGTTCGGCCTTTCGTGGCAAGTCGTCTACAAGGGTTAGAGGGAAGCGCCATTACGTCCCAAGAAGAGACTCTGTCCATAGCACCTTTGGCAGAGGACGTGGCCGTGGCAGGTCCGACCACGATTTTCAGCGCTATCAGCAGGACCGTCCCCGGGAGCCTGCTTCGACGCCCGGCAGGGGTTGGGGGAAGCGCCCCTACTCAGGTCGCTGAAGCATGGAACCAACACGACTGGGACCTCCCGCCCCCAGCCTTGCCGGTTCGTCCTAATCCAGTAGGCGGGAGACTGGGGATCTTCTGGCCCAATTGGACAGTCCTAGAAGATCCGTTTGTGACCAACATTCTCAGGACCGGTTACAAGCTGCCAAGCGCCGTGTCACCGCCTCTGACTACTACGCCCCAGTCATGCGTGTATGCTCCAGGCCAACAGTCACTGCTAGCAGACAACATTCAGACTCTGTTAGACAAAGAAGCTATAGAGAAAGTGCTAGACCCACAACAGTCCCCGGGGTTCTACTCACCCACCTTCCTGGTTCCCAAGAAAGACTCAGCAAAAATGCGCATGATTCACAATATGGCAGTTTTCAACCACCTTTACCTTTCGGAGCCGCCTCACTTCCGGATGGTGTCCCTGGAACAGCTTCGTGCCAAGCTTGTGCCCAGGGTCTGGCTGGCCAGCCTCGACCTTCAGGATGCCTACCTGCATGTGCCCATTTACCATCGTCACAGGAAGAACCTGAGGTTTATTTTCAACGGGTCCCACTACTGGTGGAAAGTGCTTCCTTTTGGAATTTCCACTGCCCCGTGGCTTATTACTCGGATAACCTTGCCGATCACCCGGTTTCTCAATCTCAGGGGCATCGATTTCGACCCTTATATAGATGACTGTCTCATGAACCACCTCGACCCTCAGATTATCAACTCAGACAAGTCCCACCTGGAGCCGTCCCAGGAACTGACGTTTATAGGAGGCTTGTTCCTGACTCACTGCGACCTTGTCAGGATTCCACAGGATCGCTGGAGGAAAATTGTCAGTTTCGCCAGCTGAAGTCTGTCCCAGCCGCTCACGCTCAGGGAGTGGCAGTCCCTCTTAGGTCTCCTCACCTCAGCCCAGGACTTGACGCTCAGAGGTCGTCTAATGCACCGGCCGTTACAGCGCTTCCTCTTGCCTTATCTCCCAGCGGACGACCTCCAGTCGAGGTTCCTTCTGCCTCTGCATCTCCACGTTTACCTCCGCTGGTGGACTGTAGAGTCGAACGTCTGCGTAGGAGTCTGCTTGACAGTCTGTTCACGATCACGAACTTCTCGTAGACGCATTTCTTCAGGGTTGGGGTGCACACCTAACTGACCAGACCACCTCGGGGCTGTGGTCCGATGCCGAGCTAGGCTGGCATATCAACAACTTGGAGCTCCAAGCTGTCATTCTAGCGGTTCGACAATTCAGGCTCCTGATAGCGTCGGACAATTCTACGCTGGTGTGGTTGATTCGCAACCAGGGAACGACCAGGTCCAAGCAGTTGTTGGAGCAGACCTTCCTGTCTCCTGGACAACAATGGCATCACAGCCAGAGCCTGGCACATCCCCGGGTCCAAGAATGTCATAGCAGACGCTCTCTCAAGGCCAGGCAAGCCGTCGCCAACAGAGTGGATGCTACATCCAGAAGCTTTCAACCTTCTATGTCACAGTCACGGCCGCCCTCTGATCGACCTGTTTGCGACTCGGTTCAACAAACAGCTTCCGTTGTAAGTGTCTCTGATTCCAGATCCGGCGGCATGGGCAGTCGACACCATGTCCTTGTTGTGGGAGGGTGTGGACGACTATGCCTTTCCACCACCAGTTCTGCTGCCAGCAGTGATAGCAAAGGTCAAGCAGACAGAGACGATTCATCTGCTTTTGGTCGCGCCTTGGTGGCCAACCAGAACCTGGTTCCCAGATCTGCTGTCTCACCTGCTCAGGCAGCCACACAGTCGACAGCTGCATCCCGATCCAACTCGATTTCATCTGTATTGCTGGATCATCTGCAAAAGGCACTGAAGGCCAAGGGCTTCTCCACGGGTGTAGCCAAGGTTATTGCCCGTGCTCATCGAGTCTCCACTAGATCACTCTATGATGATAAGTGGACTTCCTTTGAGAAGTTTTGTGCACAGAAGTCCAAGGACCCGTTGAAAGCTTCTCCCCAGTTTATAGCAGAGTTCCTTCTTTTCCTTCGAAAGTCCCGGCGTCTCAAGGGCAACACTATGGGAACTTATTTATTGGCTCTTAACTCTGTTTTGGCGGTCAAGTGAGACAAAAACATTTCCAAGGTGCCGGAGCTCATCGCTGTACTCAAAGCCTTCAAGCTGGAGGACCAGAAGGCAAAGTTTCGTCCTCCTGCTTGGGACCTTAACATCGTTCTCCGGCATCTGAGAGGTCCACCTTACAAGCCTTTGGACACTGCTTCATTCGAGAACCTCTCCAGGAAGACAACGTTTCTCTTGGCCTTGGCCACGGCGGCTAGAGTCAGCGAGATCCACGCTTTGCATGTCATCAGGGTGCGTTTTGAGCAGTCACGGCATGGGCTTGTTCATTTGGGACTGCTTTGGGATTTCGTGGCTAAGAACCAGCTGCCAGGACAACCAGACAGAATGTTCTCCATTCCTCCATTGTCTTCCATTTTAGGACCCCACAACGCTGAGGAACAGCTGCTTTGTCCTGATGTAGGGCTCTTAAGATGTAAGAGACTGTTCATCCCATTTTCCTCTGCGGCAAAAGGTGAAGTTAATAGGAATACTATTGTGCTCTGGCTACGTTACGACCATCCTGGCTGCCTACGATGCACTAGATCTGCCTCATCCTACAGCCAATAACCCGCATGAGATTAGGGCCCTGGCGTCCGTAATGGCTCTCCTTTGGAGCTGCACCGTTCCAGCCATCATGGAGGGATGCTTCTGGAAGTCTCTACTTTCTTCGCTAGCCACTACCTGCAGGATTTGGCCGTCGAGGATGTTGAAGGTCTGCAATCCTTTGGTCCACTGGTGGTTGCCTAGCAGCTCACCCGACCTATCGCCCATTAGGTAACTACTTCTCCTTACCTTCTGGTATTAAGGATAACTTATGCCCTGGGTGTATTGTTTTCCTTAGGGTTTCCTTGGGTCATTATCTATTTCTTGTTCCAGGCATTTCCTGCGACTGCCGATTCAGTTAGTTTCCTTTGTCTCCCTTGGCATGTGGTCTTGTTTTTCTTCATGGGACGGTCCTCTGGAGCCCGACACCGCCGTCCTTCTGTCGAATCCATATGCATAAGACCTATGGTAAGGTAAGTTAAAAATGTAGTAAAATCTAAATATTTTAGCTCCCTCCCAACGCTGGATGCTCCTCCCCTCTCTGGGCTCTTCGGACCTGGTCAGTAAAATTGATTTTTGGATAGACCACGCTTGCCTGGAGAGGGGAGATCACGTCACTTCCATTCCTGTACACTCGTCGATATTTGAACCAGCCATTCTAGAGAATGGCGAATCAACGGCTGTCTGATCTCTTTTAAGCGGAGCTTGAGGTAATATGCATAAGACCTATGGTAAGGTAAGTATTTAAATATCTAAAATATTTAGATTTTAATAATTGTAACTTCAGGAATGCCAGCGGAGACAACGACAGCCATCTGTGCCATGCTGTTTGGTGGAGTGCTGGAGCGGTTTCCAAAGCTCAAAGTCTGCTTTGCTCATGGAGGTAATTATTGCAAGACACTAAACATCATGGACTGCAACAAATCTGTTGCCCCACCCATAGGTCAGTCCTGATTGTTGATTAGGTGTTGACGTCCAAGAAAGAAATCATCATCTCCGTCAGGGATGTCTGATCACTTCATGGGTTTCTCAAACTGGTCCAAATAGTTCCTGCAGGAAACAATTTGCTGGATGATGTTGTGAGGTCGTTGGTATTGAAACATCCAAACATTTGCATGTTTCCAATGAGTAGAAAAATATGTGTTCCTGTGGATAAATGATCTCTGATGTCCTTCTGTTTGACACCAGAAGTATTAAAAGAGGGTACTTCTTATTACCTTGCTGGCACTAGGCTTCAGTAGGAGTAAATAAGGACTTGTGTCTTGGAGTTAGTTGACTGTGTGTGAGTTGGGTTTCCAGTTTTAAAATGCGGTATCTCACCTCAGTAGGCTGGCAGTGTAAAACAGGCAATGTTCGTGACTGGTAAACAGCCATTGACACAGGCTTTCATGTACCCGTGGATGTGTGTACTGGCAAACAAGGATAAGTTGGACCGGTGCAGAGAACGCGTTGACGAACAGTAGGCGGTGCACGGCAATGAGCAAACCATTTGGTTTGTTAAGGTAGAGCAGATGTAGGCTGGTGGGCGATGAAATTGGTTCCGCGCGTAGCTGCACACGGCTTGCTTGTAAGACTCTCAGGTCGGTGTAGCAAGTCGCATTACACTTGATCGCGGACAACCCGGGGCCCCTTGGCTAACAATGGCAAGCTCCAGTGGACGGCACTCATACATGCTAATACGAATCAATTGTCAGGTAGCTGCTCAACTTATCCTTGTTTGCCAGTAGCTCCGTAAGTAAACATCTTGAACATGCCCCATTTACCATCACCTGATGTGAGTTTTCTTACATGATTTTAGGTGGAGCCTTTCCCTATACAGTGGGCAGGATAGAGCATGGTTTCAATGTCCGACCAGATCTGTGTGCCACCGAAAACAATGTCAACCCTCGCAAGTATCTGGGGAAGTTCTACACAGATACCCTGGTTCATGATGCACGGGCCCTGGAGCTCCTGGTTGATGTTATGGGCAAGGTGTGTAAGTGAGACTGACCCTAGAGATCCTGGTTGATGTTATGGGCAAGGTGTGTAAGTGAGCCTGACCCTAGAGATCCTGGTTGATGTTATGGGCAAGGTGTGTAAATGAGACTGACCCTAGAGATCCTGGTTGATGTTATGGGCAAGGTGTGTAAATGAGACTGACCCTAGAGATCCTGGTTGATGTTATGGGCAAGGTGTGTAAGTGAGACTGACCCTAGAGATCCTGGTTGATGTTATGGGCAAGGTGTGTAAATGAGACTGACCCTAGAGCTCCTGGTTGATGTTATGGGCAAGGTATGTAAATGAGACTGACCCTAGAGATCCTGGTTGATGTTATTGGCAAGGTGTGTAAGTGAGACTGACCTTAGAGATCCTAGTTGATGTTATGGGCAAGGTATGTAAATGAGACTGACCCTCGAGATCCTGGTTGATGTTATGGGCAAGGTGTGTAAATAAGACTGGTACTGGACCTCATGGTTGATGTTATGGGCAAGGTGTGTAAGTGAGACTGACCCTAGAGATCCTGGTTGATGTTATGGGCAAGGTGTGTAAATGAGACTGGTACTGGACCTCATGGTTGATGTTATGGGCAAGGTGTGTAAATGAGACTGACCCTAGAGATCCTGGTTGATGTTATGGGCAAGGTGTGTAAATGAGACTGGTACTGGACCTCGTGGTTGATGTTATGGGCAAGGTGTGTAAGTGAGACTGACCCTAGAGATCCTGGTTGATGTTATGGGCAAGGTATGTAAATGAGACTGACCCTAGAGATCCTGGTTGATGTTATGGGCAAGGTGTGTAAATGAGACTGGTACTGGACCTCATGGTTGATATTATGGGCAAGGTGTGTAAGTGAGACTGACCCTAGAGATCCTGGTTGATGTTATGGGCAAGGTGTGTAAGTGAGACTGACCCTAGAGATCCTGGTTGATGTTATGGGCAAGATGTGTAAATGAGACTGGTACTGGACCTCATGGTTGATGTTATGGGCAAGGTGTGTAAATGAGACTGACCCTAGAGCTCCTGGTTGATGTTATGGGCAAGGTATGTAAATGAGACTGGTACTGGACCTCATGGTTGATGTTATGGGCAAGGTGTGTAAGTGAGACTGACCCTAGAGATCCTGGTTGATGTTATGGGCAAGGTATGTAAATGAGACTGATTCTAGAGATCCTGGTTGATGTTATGGGCAAGGTGTGTAAATGAGACTGGTACTGGACCTCCGGGTTGATGTTATGGGCAAGGTATGTAAATGAGACTGACCCTAGAGCTCCTGGTTGATGTTATGGGCAAGGTATGTAAATGAGACTGACCCTAGAGATCCTGGTTGATGTTATGGGCAAGGTGTGTAAATGAGACTGACCCTAGAGATCCTGGTTGATGTTATGGGCAAGGTATGTAAATGAGACTGACCCTAGAGATCCTGGTTGATGTTATGGGCAAGGTGTGTAAATGAGACTGACCCTAGAGATCCTGGTTGATGTTATGGGCAAGGTGTGTAAGTGAGACTGACCCTAGAGATCCTGGTTGATGTTATGGGCAAGGTGTGTAAATGAGACTGACCCTAGAGATCCTGGTTGATGTTATGGGCAAGGTGTGTAAATGAGACTGACCCTAGAGATCCTGGTTGATGTTATGGGCAAGGTATGTAAATGAGACTGACCCTAGAGATCCTGGTTGATGTTATGGGCAAGGTATGTAAATGAGACTGACCCTAGAGATCCTGGTTGATGTTATGGGCAAGGTGTGTAAGTGAGACTGACCCTAGAGATCCTGGTTGATGTTATGGGCAAGGTGTGTAAATGAGACTGACCCTAGAGATCCTGGTTGATGTTATGGGCAAGATGTGTACATTAGACTGACCCTAGAGATCCTGGTTGATGTTATGGGCAAGGTATGTAAATAAGACTTGTACTGGAGCTCCTGGTTGATGTTATATGTTGGTACATGATATAAGGGTCAAGGCGTTTATGGTTCATGTATGCATATGGGTGGGTGGATGTAGGCCCTAGAGTTCCAGGTTGATGTAGGTGGGTACATGGGCCCTAGAGGTCCAGATTGACGTAGGTAGTACATGGGCCCTAGAGGTCAAGGTTGACGTAGGTGGTACATGGGTCTTAGAGATCCAGGTTGATGAAGGTAGTACATGGGCCCTAGATGTCCAGGTTGACGTAGGTAGTACATGGGCCCTAGAGGTCCAGGTTGACGTAGGTAGTACATGGGTCCAAGAGGTCGAAGTTGATGTAGATGGTACATGGGCCCTAGAGGTCCAGGTTGATGTAGGTAGTACATGGCTCCTAGAGGTCCAGGGTAGTACATGGGCCCTAGAGGTCCTGGTTGATGTAGGTAGTACATAGGCCCTAGAGGTCCAGGTTGATGTAGGTAGTACATAGGCCCTAGAGGTCCAGGTTGATGTAGGTAGTACATAGGCCCTAGAGGTCCAGGTTGATGTAGGTAGGTACATGGGCCCTAGAGGTCCAGGTTGCTGTAGATGGTACATGGGCCCTAGAGGTCAAAGTTGATGTAGGTAGTACATAGGCCCTAGAGGTCCCAATGGAAGAAGGTGGGTACATGGGCCCTAGAGGTCGAGGTTGATGTAGATGGTACATGGGCCCTAGAGGTCAAAGTTGATGTAGGTAGTACATGGGCCCTAGAGGTCCAGGTTGACGTAGGTAGGTACATGGACCCTAGAGGTCCAGGTTGACATTGGTGGTACATAGGTCCAAGAGGTCCAGGTTGCTGTAGATGGTTTATGGGCCCTAGAGGTCCCAATGGAAGAAGGTGGGTACATGGGTTGTAGTTATAGGTTGGTACTTGTACAACGGCCCTGTCTGAGCTTGATTAGTGTTGTAGATAGGTATATCCTGCTGAAAAAATGTCTGTTGATGATTTCCAACTGAAAGGAGTTGTCATGTTTGTCTGTCTGTTGTGACAGGAGAGAGTGTTGCTTGGGAGTGACTACCCATTCCCCCTGGGAGAACACCACCCAGGCAAGCTGGTGGAGTCCATGGACGGATTTGATGCAAGTCTAAAGGTACCCCAAATAACAAAAGTATTTAATGAAGGACATTTTTTAAATTACAAAAACTGTTTTTAATAAACTGTGTGCCCCGATGTATATGTGCAATATGCATATGACAAATCTATCAGACATTTCTTTTTTTAGTTGTTTTATTTGTTCTGCAAACTGACGTCACCAGAATCATCTTGACCCCCAATCTAGATGTACTAACCAACACTTCGGGATCGGAATTGTGCTCAATATGCATGTCATGGCATGCTAAATATTGAAATGGCACAGATGAAATATTTCAATGTGCCCAGGTGGCACACCTGAAATTATCAAAGTAATACATGTGCTATGAATCATCTTATAGAAAAATGCAATAAATTTGACTAACTCAAATCTTTGGGGTGGGGTAGCCTGGTGGTTAAAGCGTACGCTCGTCACGCCGAAAGCCCGGGTTCGAATCCCCACATGGGTACAATGTGTGAAGCCCATTTCTGGTGTTCCCCGCCATGATATTGATGGAATATTGCTAAAAGCGGCATAAAACCATACTCACTCACTCACTCACTCACTCACTCACTCACTCACTCACTCACTCACTCACTCACTCACTCACTCACACTCACTCACTCACTCACTCACTCACTCACTCACTCACTCACTCACTTTCAAACCGTGTATCAGTGGCTCTCCGTTTCACAGCATATCATGGATGTGGCCATCTTGACATCTTAAATGCCATTGCGCATGACAGGAAATCCCATTTTGGACAATACCATAGTTTGGGGTTAGTTTATGGGTTCAGGACAAATGAAGCTGAACTATTCTTGTAGTCATGATAGTTTTCAGGAAATACAACTTTTAAGGTTACAAGTTTACATAATGTTTACTGATTATTAAACAATAAATTGAAATGACAACTGTTGTGATGTTTTACGTTTAATTGGATCATCAAAAGGTACACATTGTTTTAGAATGTCACAACTAGATTATGTGTGTGGTGCTCTATAGCACACTTAAAAATGGATTTCAGTCACCTCTTACTCATTCACTAATCCACTAACCTGATGAATTCATTTCAGGATAACTTGCTGGCTGGCAATGCATTGGAATTCCTTGGCCTGGAGAGGTCCAAGTTTCAGTGAAGAATCACAGGATCTGCATCATAGTACTTCTAGTCTACCCAAGAATTCATGATAATCCAACATATGAAAGCCCAAACACTGTCTGATATCTAATACCAAACGCTGGTATTAGTCTGGTATGGATTCAGTGATATACAGGCTGCTATATGATATAGCTTACTGTGGTATAGACCTAAAGATAACAGTTGAATCAAGACAGAAATTGACAAATCAATTGTACCTTCAACTAAGATCATTATCAACAGTGACAGTGCTGGATGATAATACAATCAGTCTTCAACACTGCCACACAATTGGGCAATTATATTCACAAATTTGAATGTAAGTTTTGTAAATCTGATTTAAAATGAAACAAGAAAGCTCTAGTCATTTGAGGTGACGCAATAAGCTGTGCAGAGTTGCGTCCCTTTCATCACCCAAGAAATCCTTGTTGCCATGGTATTTTCATGTGATTATATGGTACAGGTAAAAGACCTCCTATATCAAGCTGCGATTTATCGTATAATGGGAATGTGTTTAAGGAGGAGGATGTAAACAGATACAAGCGGTATCTGTTGGGGTCACATCAGAGTCATATACGCATATAAATGCAAACATGACAGTAGTCTAGTGTAGTAGTAGTAGTAGTGTAGGTACCATGGTCTTTCTTTGTTTTAAACATAAATAGCGTCACCTTTGTCAATCGGCATTCGAGACTGAATTACCTATGTGGAATCAGAGAAACTCACAGCTCACAACACGAGTACAAACACTGAAATAGTATTTAACTTGGACCTAGCTATATGACACAAGTTGTGTCAGTTTTAGAGATACAGAGTGAATTGCGAAACCGATTAAAATGTATGGTATGAACCAGCCCGTGAAGATCCGGGTTAGAATTGGTCTTCAGCAACCCATGCTTGTCGTAAGAGACGACTAACGGGACCGGGTGGTCAGGCTGGCTGGCTTCGTTGACACGTGTCATCGTATCCAAATTGCGTAGATCGATGCTCATGCTGTTGATCACTGGATTTTCTGGTCCAGATTTAATTATTTACAGACCGCCGCCATATAGCTGGAATATTGCTGAGTGTAGCGTAAAACTAAACTCACTCACTCACTCGGGTGTGAACCATAAAAGGTTTGCAACACGCCTCATGTTCCAAGACATTCACACCGGTTTTCATCCATTTTCGTTTATTACCCATTATTTTCTCTTGGTGTGCATGAAACATATTTGAGTTCATGCCTGATATTACTTTGTTTTAGCAAATAATCATGAAAGGTATGACCTTTATTGGAAGTATAGAAAAGTGACGCTTTTGGCATCTCATAAAACACGAAGCGCCGTAAAATATGAAACCGAGGCCCTTTTTAGGTGAACCGGGCACATATATACTACCACTATATGTTATGTATATATATGGTTACATCGAAGATTGATTTCTCCACTAACTTAGGGAAAACCAACTGCAAAGCTTATGCAGATGAAATGCACGAGAATGATGCATCAAATTGCTGAAAAACTAGTGCAAATATCGTGCATGTGAACAGCTGCGTTTTGGTGTAATGTTTTGTTAAGAATTTGGCAATTTTCGCTGAGTTTCATCATTTATTGAACTCATGACAATAATCTTTTCAATGTTACAAATTTGTTTTACAATACATCAGTTCATGTGTAAACAGTACCTTAAACAGTAATGGAATATTTTGCAAAATCTTATTTAGGACAGATGACTGAAGTCAACATTTACACCAGCGGCTACATTTACACTAGTGAGTCTAAACTTTAGATGGGTAGTATATATCCTTCAGAAAATGAGTGAAATTCTGAACATAACATAACATATATATATGTATATATGTATATATATATATATATATATATATATATATATAGGGTGTTACCCCAGCTACACGTGAATCACAACGATTTTGTGATTTGACGGCCCAATTAAGCATATCACCATTAAATCGTATTCGCCAGCTGAAGGTGCGACCCAGCAGATTTTGTTGTGTGGTTTATTGCCATGTCTGTGCCATCAGCCGCAAGGTCATGGCTTCGCTTTTCTGGCATTACTAAAGAATGCTGATGGAGAAAGTGCAGAAAAGTGGTCAGATCATTTATGGTCAAAGTAATGCCGATTATGCCTAGGCTACTGCAACACAATAGCAAGGCTACAAGTCGTGAAAAACTCACAAATGATTTGGTCTTCAGCAACCCAGGCATATCGTGAGAGACGACTTACGGGATCGGATGGTCAGTCTCGCTAACTTGGTTGACATGTCATAGTGCAGATCAATGCTCATGGTGTTCATCACTGGATTGTCTGGTCCAGACTCGATTATTTAAATACCCCCGCCATATCGCTGAGCGCGGCCTTAAAAACACTAACAAACACAAAAGGTGTACAACTTCACAAGGGCAGTGCACTGCGGCACAAATATGTCTCCTTCCTTGAACTCGCTCTCCGTATTCAGCAGATTTGGCACCAGCAGATTTCCACTTCTTCTCAAGTATGAAGTGTAACCTCATCATCTCAATATCCTTATGAAAGGAATTATACAGACAGACAGAATATATTCAATTTTTAAGGCCTCAGGCCCATACAACATACATAGGAATTTGGGTATAGATAATATAGGTATAGGAATTATAACAACGATAAACTTGGAAAGTGTCTCTACTCACCTATAGAATAAAGAATTCTGAAACAGTATTAAGTATTTCAGGTGATTTGCCTTCGAATTATTATCGTTTCCTTATCCCTGCTTCTTAAATCTAAACTAGTTCTGTATCTATTTCTGTTCATGTTACATTATATTGATTTCTCCTTAGAGTAATTATGCTTATATTTTTTGAATCAGAGCTCTACATACATCTCCTTTCATGCGTTGACATTCAGAATCAAACCATTCATTTATATATTCCCTTCTGTTTTGCTTCTTCATGCCTACCGAGGACATACAATGGCTAGAATACATTCATCAGTGTCATTTAAAGCCACGTGTTGTAATCTGTTATCGGATATTATATGTTTTCTTGTAGGGCTCTCATGAGTACTCGGGTACTCGGGGCCGAGTCGGGTAAAGCAGGACTCGAGTCCAATTGAATGGACTCGAGGACTCGCAGGGGAGATACCTCTGAACATCTCACACAATCAAGATGGATTATCGTGAGAAAAATCCAATGTCTGGGCGCATTTTTATCTTGATTTAGTGGCCAAAATACGAAATGCCGTCTTTGGGGCGTTTCCCTTAGTAACACAAGCATTTGTCCTGTAAGCACCCACAATAAGCACTGTAGACAGAAAACCAGCTCAACAAGCAACGCTGGGGCAGTTCGGTAAGTTTGATAGCAAACGTCGCAAGCCTGTTGACAGGAAATGGTATGAAAGTATTACACAAAAAGCAGTTCTTATGCGCGTTAATGATATGCGACCATTAAGTCTTGTTAAAGGGGAGGGTTTCAGGGCTTTCTGTGAACCATTGAACCCAAATTACCAGGTCCCATGTACTGCGACAATTCACAACTACCTCATAAAGTCGTATGAAGTTTGCAAGGAGAACAAAATATCAGTACCCAAAACAGTACCTGCCGTTGCCCTAACTACGGACGCGTGGACAAGCGTAGCCACTCACGGCTGTATCACTGTCACTGCTCACTATACCTATGTTTGAACAACTTGTTTTCTAGATAGATATTCAGTCGTTCTTATCCAGCGTATTTCAGTGTTACATATTCAACAATCAACACATACATACGCATTCAAAATAACATTCACACTTGAAGACCTATATCCTTAATAGTGAAAGTTTTAATCACAATGAATACCATTGACGTGATCTCCGTTCAGCAGAGTTTCAGAAGAAGAAATACAGTGTAGTGTTCCTTAATAAATGGTTATAGTCTTTAGTTTGAAACTAAAACGTTTTCACTATAAGAAGTCTCAAATAAACATCAATCCTGTTTTACATATTCTTTAAGTTCCATAGTCGATCCATCTTTACAAGATACAAGTATCTAATGCAGCACCAATCAATGAATGCTTTATCTATGTATCTTCCAGCTTTGGAACGTGTTTTGCTGCATTTTAACCGTGATTAAGGTTAATTGATTAAGTGACATCGTCTAGGTGAATGTTTAAAAGTTGCTAATATGTCATAACTGCATCGACATATTAATATTAGATAATCTTGAAAGCGTAGTTAAACTTAAAACCAAAAGAAAAGAGAAGTACATTGATTGGTTTCTTTTCCCGGACACATCCAATCATATTACAGCATTTACAGGCGTAATGAGGTATCACCGGCCCAGCTCATGAATATTTATCACATAATTGATCGCGTAGAACTGGGTCACAGTGACACTTACGTTGCCTTCACATTCTGTTTGCAATAATAAAAAGATAATAGATACTTCCATTGACATTGAATATCAATTGCTTTATTCAGGAGCGTTTGGATTCACATAAACATGTTGCATTATTCGTAGATTGGAAGTTGAAACAGCTACGTGTATGTTTGAATGTTGGTTTCAGATAAGCATCCAAATTGTAGGGTCGTCGGGTCTGACACCTCGAGTACTCGAGTCCCAAATTTTGGACTCGTGAGAGCCCTATTTTCTTGTCTTGCTGGTGTGATAATTAAATCTAAATATGTTCTGCCTTGTTACAGTTCTTTTTGACATTTTCACAAGCATCATATGCTATTTGTAGAATTTGAGCGGAAGATGCTCTTTGACGTGGCCTATTGGACACACGCATTGCCAACAAGCTGGTTGAAGATGCTATAAACAACGCTTCTCGTGGTTTATTGCCGTTGTTGTTATTTTAGATCGCAAAGTTTTGACCAAACAAAGCTACATAAACTTCGATACCTGGGAATTATGTTTGCTTGTTTGTAACGCCGGTTAAATCACGGGTTGACACGGGTGCAGGAAGTATGAAACGCATGTTAATTGATTTGATAACGTTTATCAAAGTATATTAGCCTCACTGCTGACCAAATCTAATAATGTCATATTTTGGGTCCGAAACCAGGCCTGTGAATGCTTTGAACGACGTTTTGGGTCGTTGTCATGCTGGAAAATCCACATTGTGGACATTTACAACGTAGTCGTGAAGATCCGGGTTAGAATTAACCTTCAGTAACCCATGCTTGTCGTAAGAGGCGACTAACGGGATCGGGTGGTCAGGCTCGCTGACTTGGTTGCCACATGTCATCGCCATATAGCTGGAATATTGCTGAGTGCGGCGTAAAACTAAACTCACTCACTCACTCCTGGAGATCGTCCTGATCGCAATTGCCGTCTACAATGCCACTTTGTTTCTCAAAGAACGTTGGACAAGTAGTATAAAGCTACTAGTTTTTTAATAGTATATTTTGATTTCCTTCACCCGCGTAGGGGATGTGTGGTAGCCGAGTGGTCCGTCACGCCGAAGACCCGGGTTCGATTCCCCACATGGGCACAATGTGTGAAACCTATTTCTGGTGTTCCCTGCCGTGATATTGCTGGAATATTGC